GCACTCTTTAGAGCACTTTCCTTCTCTTTCAATTTCACAGTATCTATTACGCCTTTTGGATCCGATTATTCTGTCACTTTTTATTATTTTTTACACTAGAGAGACAATGTGATATTTGTGTGAGTCTTATTTATTTCACTAATGAGGATATTCTCAAGTTGCCTCCATTTACCTATAAAGGCCTCAAGGCCATCTATTTTTATAGCTGAGTTCCACTGTAAAGAAATACATTTTTTTCATCCACTCTACAGTTGGTGGACATTTTGGTTGTTTCCAAGATTTAGCTATCACAAATTGTGCTATGTGAACATAGGTGCACATATATCAGTGTGATATGACATTTTCAGTTTTTCTGGGAAAATACTCAGGAGGGGAATAACTGGATTGAATGGAACTTCCAATCCTAGTTTTTTGAGGAATCTCCATACTGATTTCCACAGTGGTTGCACTAGTCTGCACTCCCACCAACAGTGGAGAAGTGTTCCTTTTTCCCACAGCCTCACCAACATTTGATTCCAGTTGATTTCTTGATGGCAGCCTTTCTTTCCAGAGTGAGATGAAATCTCATTGCTGTTTTAATTTGCATTTCTCAAATGGCCAGTGATGGTGAACATTTCTTCATATATTTATTTGCCATTTGTACACCTTCATCTGAGAACTGTGTGTTCACCTCTGATACCTATTTTTGGAGAAGGTCTTTGAATTTGGGGGGTTGATGTTTTTCAGTGCTTTATATGTTGTGGATATAAATCCTTCATCTAAGGGATTGTTGGCTAAAATTCTTTCCCATTCTGTAGGTTTTATTTTCACTCTGTTGGTGATTTCTTGTGAAGTGCAGAAACTTCTTAATAATATGAGATCCCCGTTGTTGATTCTTTGGAGTATCTCCCATGCAGTTTGCATTTTATTTATGAATTCTCTGCCTATCCCTATGTTTCCAGGATTTCTACCTACCTTGTCCTCCAGTAGATTCAGTGTTTCTGTTTTAATTTTAGATCCTTGATCGATGTTGACTTTAGTTTAGTGTATGGTGATAGGCATGGGTGCATTTTTGGTTTTCAGTGTGTGGAAAGCCAGTTTTTCCAATACCATTTATTAAAGAGACTATCTTTTTCCCAGTGAACATGGTTGGCCCCTTTGTCAAATATAAGGTGGCTGAGTGTCTTTTTAGTAATCTTTTTATCTTCTAATCTGTTCCATTGATCCTCAGGTGTATTTCTTTGCGAGTACCATGCTGATTTTATTACTGTGGCTTTGTAGTACTGTACTGTAGTTTTGAGATGCCTCCTGTCTTGACTTTGTTGCCCAGAATCGCCTCTGCTATTCTAGGTTTATTCTGTTCCCAAATGAATTTTAGGAATATTTTCTCTAGATCTGTGAGGTATGTTTATGATATTTTAATTAGGATTGCACTGAATCTGTATAACAGTTTTGGGAGTATGACTATTTTCACAATGTTGGTTCTTCCTAGCCAAGAGCAAGGAATATCCTTCCATTTCCTAATATCCTCTTCAGTCTCCTTTTTTAGACTAGTATAATTTTCAGCATATAGGTCTTTAACATTCTTGGTTAGGTTGATTCCTAAGTATCTGATATGTTTAGATATGATTATGAAAGGTGATATTTTCATAATTTCTCTCTCAGTTTTTTGTTTGTGTACAGCAATGTTATTGATTTTTTAATGCTGACTTTGTATCCAGCTATGCTGCTGAATTTGTTTGTTACCTCTAGTAGTCTTTTAATGGAGTTTTGGGGGTCTTCTATGTAGAGTATCATGTCATCTGCAAATAATGATAACTTCTTTTCCTATTTTTATTTCTTTTATTTCTCCCTCTTGTCTGATTGCTCTGGCTAATATTTCTAGAACTGTATTGAATAGGAGTGTTGATAGTGGAAATCCTTGTCTTGATCCTGATTTTAGAGCGAAGGCTTTCAGTTTTTGTCCATTTAGTACAATGTTGGCTGTTGGTTTGTCATAAATGGGCTTTATGAGATTGAGGTACATAATATCTATTCCAAGTTTCTATACGGTTTTTATCACAGGTGTTGGACTTTATCAAAAGGTTTTTTCTGCATCTATTGAAATGATCATATGATTTTTATTTTTGGCTCTGTTGATGTGGTGTATTACATTTATTGATTTGCATATGTTGAACCACCCCTGCATTCCTGGAAAAAATCCCACTTGATCGTGGTGTATTATCTTCTTGATGATTTGCTGCATTATATTGGCCAACATTTCATTGAGAATCTTTGGATCAATGTTCATTAGTGAGATTGGCCTATAATTCTCCTTTTTTGGTAGGATCTTTCTCTGGTTTTGGTATCAGAGTGATACTTGCCTCCAAGAATGATTTAGGGAAGACTGCTTCTCTTTCAATTTCATTGAAGAGTTTAAGGAGTATTGGCATTAAATCTTCTCTAAATTTCTTATAGAATTCAGTTGTGCATCCATTAGGACCTGGGCTTTTCTTTGTTGGTAAGTTTTTAATCATGTTTTTTATTTCAGTAGCTGATATTGGGTTATTCAAAATTGTTATATCTTCTTGATTGAGTTTTAGTAGTTCATACATTTCTAGAAATCTGTCCATTTTCTCTGCTTTCTATGCTATGTGAGTAGAGATTTTCAAAGTAGGTGTTCATAATTTTTTGAATTTCCATGGAATCTGTAGTAATTTCCTCCTTTTCAGTCCTTATTATATAGATTTCAGTTTTTCCTTTCTTTTTCTTCATACGGTTGGCTAGAAATTTATCAATTTTGTTTATTCTCTCAAAAAATAATTCTTTGATTCATTAATTCTTTGTAATTTTGTTTTTGTTTCAATTGCATTAATTTCTGCTCTAATCTTTGCAAATTCCTTTCTTCTATGAGCTTTGGGTTTGACTTTTTCTTACTTTTCTAGAAGCTTGAGATGTAGCATTAGGTTATTTATCTGTGCTTGTTCCATTTTCTTGGTGTGACTATTGCTATATGTTTCCTTCTTAAGACTGCTTTTATTGCATCCCATAGTACTGTATGTTGTGTCTGCATTTTCATTGTATTGTAGGCATTGTTTTATTTCTTACTTGATTACATCTGCAACCCACTGGTTGTTCAGAAGTTTGTTACTTAATCGCCATGTTTTTATACAGGTTTTGCAGCCTGTTTTGCCATTGATTTACAATTTTGGTGCACTATAGTGAGGTATTGGGCATGGGATAATTTCACTCTCTTTGCATTTATGTAAGAATGTTTTGTGAGTTAGTATATGGTCTATTTTGGAGAATGTCCTATGTGCAGCTGAGAAAAATGTATATTCTGATGTTGTTGGGTGGGATACTCTGTAAACATCCACTAAATCCATTTGCTCACAGTTATGATTCAGTTCTGTTATTTCTCTGCTGACTTTTTGTCTACTAGTTGATCTATCTCTTTGTGACAGTGGTGTGTTAAGGTCTCCTATTACAATTGTGTTCTTGTATATTTGGTTTTTCATGTCCATTAGTATTTGTCTTATATAGTTGGGTGCTCCTGTATTTGGTGCATATATATTTATAATTGTTAGTTCTTCCTCTTGAATTTTTCCACTTACAAATATGTAGTGACCTTCTTTATGTATTTTAATCATTTTAGGTTTGAAGTTCACTTTGTCTGCAAACAGAATAGCTACTCCTGCTTTTTTCTGGGTTCCTGTTGTATGGTTTTCATCCTTTTGACTTTTAGTCTATGAATTTCTTTTTGAGTCAGATGTGTTTTTTGTATACAGCATATTGTGGGATCCTGATTGTTCATCCATTCTGTCAATCTGTTTCTTTCGACAGGTAAATTGAGCCCATTTACATGTATGGATATCACTGATATGTACTGGCTTGACTTTGCCATATTGTGTTCCTGTGGTTGGTTTTCCACTTTTCTCTCTTGTTTAATTTTTTGTCCAGCTTGGTGGTTTCTTTTTGTTGTTGTTCTGGAGATTATGGTCATTTTATGTCTTTCTAGCATGTATTTCAATACTTTTTCTTGGTTTGATTTGGTAGATATGAAATTCTTCAGTTGTTCTTTGTCATGGCAGTATCTTGTTTCTCCATTAAATTTGAAAGACAGTTTTTCTGAGTACATCAATCTGGGTTAAAAGTTGTTTTCTTTTAGGACTTGAAGTACTTCATTCCAAGCTCATCTTAATCTGAAAATTTGTGCTGAGAAGTCCACCATGATTCTAATAGGCTTTCCTTGATAGGTGAGTTGTGTTTTTTCTCTAATAGCTTTGAGTATTCTGATTTTATGCTATATGTCTGGGATCTTAATTATTATATGTCTGGGTGTAGATTTAGGTTGGTTATGACTGTTTGGCATTCTATACAACTCAATTATTTGTATGTCAGATTTTCCCCCATGTTTGGGAAATATTATGCTATTACTTCTCTGAACAGGTTAGTTATGTTTTTTGCATTGTCTCCTGCATCCTCACTGATGCCTATTAGTCTTACATTGTTTCTCTTGGCATCATCTTGAAGCTGCTGGATTGTCATTTCATGCTGCTTTGTTGTTTTTATAAGTTCTGTCCTTTCATGGTCACTATCTGCAATCTTATCCTCAAGGTCTGAAATTCTATCCTCAGCTACATTTAAATGGTTTTGCCAGCTTTCAGTAGAGTTTTTGTTTCTTAGATAGCTCTTTGAATTTGTTTTGTGGATTCTGCTTGTTTTTTATATTGTTCATTCAAAGTTTCAATCAATTTCCCATGCTCCTGTATTTTTTTATCTATTTCTTCCCTAGCTATGTTGAGCAAATCCTTTACTAATGTTGTTATTTTTGTCTTTATGTAAGATATTACTTCTAATTTGATTTCCTCTATAGCCTCATGGAATTGTTTCTTTACTTCATTTGCTATCTTTTCAGAGATTTCTTGTGTGTGACTTTTAATGTCCTCCATTTTTCTGTTGCCTGTTCTTGCACCTGATAGACTAGATGTTTGAGGTTGCATTTTGATTTTTTGTTTTGTCATTTTCTCCTTCCAGGCCAATATTTGGTTATTTAATCCCAGTCATCACAACTGTCAGCAGTGTATCTCCTAGGGTCCTACTGCATGGTTGCTGTCTGCCCAGTTTTTGGGTACATAGTGACCAGACCCTGCCAAAGTCCTCTGTAAAGGTGAGTGGCCACCAAGTTTCCTGTCAAACCAGCACTGCCAGTCCACTGTAGTTCAAGGTTTTGGGAGGGAGAGTGGGAGCCAAACAGTCACAGCAGTGCTTGGTCTAAGAGACGGGGGAGGGTAGCCAATGGCAGGGGGCTGAGCCAGGGTGGGTTTGGTGGTCCTCTGGTTCAGCACATGGGAGGAGCGTACTGGGTCCCAGGTGTGGCTCAGTGGCTGGAGCCTGGGTGGAGCCTAGCAGTTGCCTTCTGGCCGTTGATGGTGGGAGGGCACCAAGAGATGCAGACACAAGCACAGATCAACAGCCTGAACTGGGGTGGAGCACAGCAGTTGTCCTCTGGCTGTTGGCCAATAGACCTATCTTTTAGGACATAGAAAATACTAAATAAAAATCTGGCAAATGGAAAAATTTCCAGGAAATCATAAGTTATTAGAATTAATTTAAGAAACAGTAGAAAATTTAGGAACTATATGAAAACTTTTAAGGTTTTAAAAAGTTGCTTTAAAAGTTTAGAATAAATCATTTCAAACCTTCATGAAAGAGATTACTTCCAGAATTTCTGTTTGAAAGACTGTTTGGTTTTGTATTTCCCTCTGAAATAAGTTTTGGGTTCACAGCAAAACTAAGGAGATACAAAAATACTCCATATGTACTTTCTGCCAGCCTGGAGTCCTGCATTTAAACATTTACCATTAGAGCCATACATTTGTTACAGCTGATGAACCTGTGCTGACTCTTCACTGTCACCCAAAGTTCATAGCTCACTCTGTGAGCTCACTCTGTTGCACACACTATGGCCTTGGACAAACATATAACATCACTACTTTCATCATATCTTACAGAGCATTTTCACTGTCCTAAAAATCCTTTATGTTGGTCTCTTCCTGCCCTAACCCATGCCAATCACTGATCCTCTTTTTGTCTCCATAGTTCTGCCTTTTACAGAATGTCACATAGTTACATATATTATATTATGTAGCCTTTTTAGATGGACTTCTTTCACTTGACAATGTGCACTTACATGTCCTCCATGTCTTTTGGGGGCCTGATAGTTCATTTCTGTTCAGATCTGAATAACATTAAATATTCTGAATTACTGAAGTTTATTTATCTATTCACTAACTAAAGGATACCTTGGTTGTTTCCAAATTTTTGGAATTATAAACAAAGCTGCAATAAAGATCTCTGTGCAAGTATTTGTGTGTTTGTAAGTTTTAATTCCTTTGGACAAATACCAGTGAGTCTGGTTGATTGATCTTATGGTAAGAGTACATTTAATTTAAGTATATTTTCTTTTTTGTGAAACTTCCAGTCTTAAACCAGCAATGCTGTTACGCATTTTGTATTCATTTCAGTAATAAATAAGAGTTCTGATTGCTTCACATCCTTCCAGTGGTTAGCATTATCAATGTTGTGGAATTTGGTCATTCTCCAACAGTTATATAGTTGTATTTTATTGTTGTTTTAATTTGCATTTCTCTGATGACACTATGCAAAGTGTCTTTTCATGTGCTTATTTGGCATCTACATGAGAACTGATAAAAATAAAGTGAATGTTTAAGTATTTAAAAATTATTACCATAAAAGACACATTGCCATTAATCTCCCTAATAGATTTCAGATAGACTTAGCCCATCATTCTTGCCACATTCTCAAACAGTTCTATAAGCCTTATTTCATGAATGTCTTTAATTAAGCAGTCCTGGCTACCTTCATGTCTTGATTCTATTCAAAATAGTTACCTTTCATGGTCATTTTGACTTTGGAGAAGAACCAGAAGTAGCACCATGCCAGATCCGGTGAACAAGCTGGATAAAGACACGTTGTGATGTTTATAAGAGCCAGCCTTTCCGTATGGATGACACTTGGCAGCAGCATGCACCATAGCTTTGATCACATCTCTTAAAGACACAAAAAAGCACTTCCATGATGGCTTCAGAAAGTAGTAAGAACAACAGGATAAGTGTGTTCCAAGTGAGCAGAAGTCTTTTGAAGGGCACAAATGGTGATGTATATTTTACTATAATAATTTTTTAAAAATTTAAATATTCAGTATATATTTTGATCACCTCTGTATAATTTCTTTGATGAGGTGTTTATTAAGCTCTTTGGACTCTTTTTTAGTCTAGTTTTTCACTTTTTTATTGGTCAATGTTAAGAATTCGTTAAGTACTTTAAATTACAGTCCTTTACCAGTTATCTTTTAAACTACTTTATCATCTGTGACTGTCTTCATTCTCTTGACAGTGGTTTTTATTTGTTTGCTTGTTTTGACAAAGAAGATATTTCTAATTTTAATGAAATTCAGTTAAATAGCTCTTTCATGGATTATGTGCTTGGTGTTCACTGTATCTGAAGAGTCATTACCAAAGCCAATGTCATCTACATTTCCTGCTGTGTTATCTTCTAATTGTTTTACATTTGTGTCTGTGATCCCTTTTGAGCTAACTTGAATGAAGGAAGTAGGTTTGTTCATTTTGCATGGGGATGCCTTTGTTTCAGTACCATGGTTGAAACTTTTTTTTCTTCATTATATTGCTTACACTTCTTGTCAAAGATCAGGTGGCTATCTTTATATGCATCTTCTGGGAACTATATTCTGTTCTGTTTTCTTCTTCTTCTTCTTCTTCTTCTTCTTCTTCTTCTTCTTCTTCTTCTTCTTCTTCTTCTTCTTCTTCTTCTCATTTGCTAATACCACACCGTCTGGATTATTGTAGCTATGTAATGAATCTAAAAGTTTGATAGTTTCAGTCTTCTCACTTTGTTCTCCAGTTCCTTTGAATTATTCTAGCACATAGGAAAGATGGGAAAATGTATTTTTAAGGACTGTATACTTTGATATCAAAACTAACAAGCATTAAATAATTAAAGATGATTGAGATCATTCTCAATTCTAAATAAAGATATGAAATGTCCACAGTATATTATGAAGACGTGCCAAAGTAACTTTCAGGATTCAAAAGCAACTACAAATGTATTGTTCTGTTTCAGGTGATGTTTTATTACCTGATCATGTATTAACTCACTTAATTCTCTCAAGAATACCATGAATTAGGTGGGCCCTATTTTTGTCCTTTTTACAGATGAGGAAGTTAAAGTGTTAGAAAATTAGGTAACTTGGCTAAAGTCATATAAATGATAAGAGCAAGGCCAAACTCCAACCTAGGCAGTTTAACTTTAACCATTAACTATCGTACCTTTCATACCCATCGAACATTAGAAGAAACCAAGGTAGACATTTCAATAGTTGTGAAAAACCCTGTGATAACATGCAGAATCCATTCTTGAATTTTTAAAAAAAGTATTTTTGCTAGAAGAAAAGGTTGTGTTATTCTTAATATAATAAAGATTATCTGTCTAAAATTAACATCTCGCCACATAATTCACAGGGAGAAAAGGATTTGCATTGAAGTCACATGTGAGGCAAAGACTCTCATCACTATCGACTTGCTTTCCCAGTTCTACTGACCTCAACCAGACTTGGAGTTGAAGAAAAACCAACAGTTTAACTGTTGTAAAGGGGCAACAGCGTAACAATGATATGATATTCTCCCCATAAAACTAAAGAGTATTACTTAAAGATCTAAAAGCAATGAGGAAATACAATATAACTAGTATACAAAAAATAAAGTTAGCAACATTGTAGCTTTCCTTGTATCACGAAGCACAAACTCAAATGCCTGATAGACAACCCAAGTTCATGACTGCACCTCATTCAGGGATAATGCTCACAGTAGCAAAACTACGTAAAATAAAATTTAACAACAAACACATAGAATTTATATGTTGAAAACTATGAAAGCTAAGTAAAGAAAAGTACAGTATGTTCCAAGATTATCTGGACAATAAGTAAGTGATACTACATTAAAACATTTAGAACAATGAGATAAGGAGAGAGGACTTCTGCTATTGCTATTGGTAAGATACGAAAATATATGTGATAGTTATGGCAATTTAAAGGGTAGGTTTCTGTTTCATTTCATGGACTAGATACGTCATTAGAAAACAGAAATATATAGAAGTGTGCATAACATTTTACCCTGTCATTCAGTCATTCACTCAAAAACTAATGCTGTAAGCATATCCTCATTACAACAGTAATAGTGATCATAGTGGACAAATCAGAAAAACGGACAAGAAAGCCAGACCTGATGGCACACACCAGCAATCCCAGCACACAAAGATTGCTCTGAGTGAGGCCAGCCTGGGCTATGTGAGTTCAAGGTCAGCCTACATGATACTGTGAGACCCTGTCTCCAATGTGTGTGTGTGTGTGTGTATGTGTGTGTGTTGTATGCATTCTGGTGGAAGAGAGAGTGCAAAAATTATCGAAAATTAACATGAAAAAAAAAGAAAATTCAAGTAGGATGATTTCAATGTAACATTAGAAAGGGACATTTAAATTTGAAAAATGAATGGCTACAAGGGATGAGCCAAATTATCAAGCTTACATGGTCAAGACACAGAAAGATCACCAGCATGGGTGGAGTAGAGGGTAATGGGATGATTACGACAGCAGGTTGAAAGGAGTTAGATCTTGCAAAGCTTTGATGCCAAGATAAAGGATTTGGATTTTATTTTTTTTTAAACTCAATTGAAACTTTGGGAGGTTTCTAAGCAGAAAGTGACATAATCTAATCTATAATTCATAAAGATCACTCCAGTTTCAATTCATGGAATGAATTGCAAGGAGGGCAGAACAAAAGCAGTCGATGCAGTTTGAAATTGATCAGAGATAAAAGTGGCTGGACTATGGGGGATTCTGAATATGTGGATGGATTTAAGGTGTGTTTTGGAGGAAGAAACAAAAAGAATTATATTGAGATATTGAGGAAGAGAAAGGGACCAAGACTAAAGGAATTGCTAAATGACTTTAGGAAGACTGAAGGAAGATCAGGATTGCTGTTAGTATGGAGAACCAAGTTTCAAATATAGTAAGCTTTAGGTGTTTTTCAGAAATAAGAAGTGGGCAGTGGGCTATGCAAATATGCAAATATATGGTTCTCAGATAGCAAAGTAAGCTCAAGACTTCTGTTTCAGGCAAAATCAGTGTATTGATGTTTGAAGGCAAGGCACAGACAAAAGGGTTAAAGAATCAAAGGCATTCTGCAAAGCTGCTCTGCAAACTTTAGCTTCAGAGGGCAGACCAACGGAGAGCAAGACACAAAAAAACAGCGAAGAAGCAGCTGGTGAGACGGGAGAAAATTGGCCAGACCTTAAAGCAGAGAAAAAAGAGTATTTCATGGAGGCCAGAATATTTCAGTTGTGCCAAATCTTGAGAATTCATATAAGAACAAAAAATGAAAGTGATTGCCTAGCTTGAAAACAACAAGGTGAGTGATGTTGGTGTATGTAAGATTCCTACTGAAGAAGAGGTGAGAAGTGGAGACCAGCACTTTTGAAAACCTTTTCAGCAACTAAAATGTCATTTCAACCATTTCAATACAAAATAACCATTACATTTGTTAAAACTGACAGTGCAAATCCACTGGGAGAAGAAAGATTATTTCATAAATGATCTTTGTATGATTTATTACTTATTTGGGAAGAAACTGTTTGAATTTTTACAAAAGAAGTAGAGAGAGAAATCAATAGTATAACAAGCCCTTCTCTAAATGGAGTTATTTTATTCTGTATTGTAGTTACACATTTTTTTCATAATAGGCTTATTTTTAATGAAAAATATTAATATCTCTTTTTGACAACCACTTATTTTAACAGACCACTGGATTCAAAACTTAATTAATTCAAAATGCAACAATCTATTGGCTTTGCATTGGTAGTCTGCAGTACATATAGAAAGGTGTGACACGTGAGAATAGTGAGTTTTAGCACGCGGTGGGCAAGGTGAATGTTGTAAGTGAAATACGAAGCACCTCGGAGAGAAGTCAAAAGAAGGGCTTATAACTCCAGGGTACTGATTAGGGCTTCAGGGAAAACTCTATACATGAAAAGAATTGATGAAGGGAATTGACATGAAAAATAGGTCATTATAAAAAACATCATTGGAGTGGTAAAGCAGAACTTACCTACCCGTCATTGAATAGATTTGTGGGGGAAATACACAGGATGTTTTGGCCAACCCATGGTTACAACAAGAGTATTTCCATGCAGTTAGAAGTGGGTGACTGACTAAGAAAGCAGCGATCCCTCCTTCCTGGTAAGTGGCAGCGTGAGTGAGCAGGGGATAGAACAAGTCAGTGCTCCCTGTGAGCTTACCGCCCCCTTCCCCTCCTTCCCCGCAGTTAGCAACTAGACAGTGTTGAGGACAGCTGGACTTGATAGCAACTAAGGCACATAAAGCAACTAAATTCTTGGATTGTTGGGTTGATTATGCTGACCTGGAGCCAGAGGTCTGAGCATCTCTTGGGAGTATGACCATACACAATATAGCAAATATGGGGGATTTTCTTCCACCTTCTCGTTGAAGGCAAATATTGTTTTCACTGTTTGGCTTTGTTCTGATTAATTGCTTTGCTCTATTTAATATTCTCTTTTGATAGGTTTTATAATGTTCTATTTTTGGTTTGATTTTGCTATATGTGATTGAATGGACAACTATTGTAAAGATAAGTTATACTATTGTACCTACTCCTGTTATCCTGGTAACCTGCTGTGAAGTTCTATACCAATTTCACTGCATTGTCTCCATTGGCTTTGTTTTGTCTTGTTCTGTTGTATTTTACTACCTTCAAAAAAATTTTAAAGAAAAAGAAGTGGAGAAAGCCCAGGAGGCTCCCCTTGCTTACCCCCAGGTGTTCTTGCTTATTTAAATAGAGAATAAGCAGGCAGTCTGTATAGCTCGGAATATGTAAATTGTGTGGCATCTGTATTTCTAGTCACTGTAGGAAATCACTATCAGCTATTCATGGCCATGGATTCTTTTTGGATCCTGTGTCCAGAGCTCAAGTAGCTTGTCTAAGTCCATTTAGGGATGCTTATCTCCGATTAAGTTAAAAGAATTGTGGTTAGTGAAAGAGGTTAGGGTTAGAAAATGGAGACTTCAGGACTGGGATTGGGTGGAGACACCACTTCCCTGTGTGACACAGTGCCTATGAATGCTGTGGATTTTTGAGTTTTACTGCGTTAATCTGTTGCTCAAGTTGAAGCCCACCTGGTACTGCATGAGAAGGTTTTGAGTTTCTGCCTTTGACTCAGTGCTGGATGTGAGGAACACTTCTTTAAAACACTTCTTTAAAACAAGTGTTTTCTGGCTATGAAGGAGTAAAAAGAAAAAACAAAATATATGATGAACAAGCAGTGATTCAAACTTCTACCTCTGTCTGGCTCAGAAATGATGACTCTTGACTATTGCTATCTGGCTTTCCACATAGACTCTAGGCAAAGAGAAATGATCTGATGAGGACAGTGCATGACCATATTGATTCTTTGAGGAAACCATGAAGTTACCAGTTTGTACTTAGCCCCAGAAAAAGTTTGCTCATCTCCTTGTGTTCTTACCCTCAGACAGAGACTGACATATGTTTCTCATGATCCCGGTTTAAAAAATACATTTCTCATTTTAGCTCTCAGACTATCTAGTGGTTCGTTTCAAGATTTATCAAACTTCGTCAGTTCATAACCTGAAGCCAATACCAACAAGATGTTTGGGTGTTTTTAGTACATTTATATATTTAGAACCTTCATTATATAACTTGTTCTTTCTTCTCATTGACAGAAAGCCTTAGTTTTTTTTTTTTTTTTGGTTTGTTTTTTGGGGTTTTTTTTTTTCCTCTTTGTACCATGAATTAAATTCAGGACCTTGTGCTTACCAGGCAGGCGCTTATGCTGCTTAGCTATAACCCCAGTGAAAGCCTCATTTTCTGCTTATATTTCCCTTTACTTAACTTTATTTTATGCAAATAGATGATTACTTGACTTCATTTTCCATTTCATTTCAGATGTTGAGCTCTAAGCAAAACACAACAGGAGCCTAGTTCCATCTCAATTCCAAATTCAATTAATGTGCTTCTTCATTAGATGAAGGAGATGCCACCTGAGCACGTGGCATCTGTTTGAACCATACTTTCTTTCCCTTCTTCTAGCTGTCATCTTTTTTCTCTCTAACCACCCTGGCTAATTTTTATTCTGATGTCTAATATGCACCTTGGGCTATTTGCTGGGCTTACTCAGACTTTCTGTCAGAATCAGCCTTCCTCTTCTCTCTGTCATCTCCTCTGATCTTCCAAGGGGAATAGCAAGCTCATTTGCATACTTCTGTGCAGCCTGGCCACAAAAACCATAGATGCAAATCAGCAGCAAATCACTACATGCATAGTCTTTTCACTCAGTGTTTAACATACCCTATAGAACCATGTTTCTCCAAACCATCAGTTTCAAAATGATTTGTGATCAAGATCTTTTTCAACAACTTTCAGAGAAGACCAAAGTTAAAAATTCATATTTACTTGGAACTTACCCTCATGGCTTCAGCATGCCTTTTCTCTCTGATTCTCATGTAGTACCACAAATTCGCCTCTGTTCTAGGCACAAAAGAACCTCTTATTGACAGAGATCCATACTCCATGTATTCTTACTTGTGCTTTCTAATTCATACTTAACATTTGACCAACCATATGTTTCTCTTCATCCAGGGAAGTTTTGCCTTATAAACAATATGTTTTTAATATTATACAATAAATGCATAGTAATACACTAAGAAAATAAAGAAAAGCTCCAGTGACAAGTATAGGATAATTTGTAATCTCTCAATTTTTTAATTGACTTATACTTTTTTAGGCCTTTTTATTATAGTAACACAATACTCCTTTTCATTCAACAATTGATATTTTTCCATATCAATAAATATTATACTACAATACATTAACAGTGCAAACATTAGTATTCACATTACACAATGTACAATGCACTCTAATTTAACAAACTATAGCCCCTTTGTTGAGCATTGAGGCTGTTCGCAGTTTACTCACATCATTAATACTTCATTGAGCATCTCTACTCACCCAGTTTTCTGTGCATTTTAACTCTGTCAAGTCACTGCTTTTTCATGGATTCAAGTTCCATACTGTCCCCTCTATTGTTCCCATTTGCTTTACTAGTTAAATGGGAAAGTATTTTTAGACTAATGTTTATCTTTTTCAACTTGACCATCCCTTTTTTGGAGGTATACCCTGAGATTATTTAAAGTCATCTCCAAGATTTCACACAAATTTCCCTAATAGCTATCTCCTGTTGTAGTATACCTATCCAAAATTGCATAATGACATGCTGGAATTTTAAAGCTCCCTCTTCATAAGCATTCATTCTTATGACAAACATGAATTTTCTACTCACAGCACATCTAGCAACAAATATTTATTGGTTTTCCCTACATCGTGCAATTCTCTAGTTCTCTGTAGACACCAACTGATGTCCAGTAATTGAGTTCTGACACTGGTTACCCAGAGTTAGTATTAGATCCCACCCATGAAGGCTTCAGCCCCTAACAAGTGTCCCTCATATGACTCCAAGAGCAAATAGTGTGTTTCCAGGTTACCCACAGTTATGTCCAACTTGTATACAAATTAGTGGTTTGCAAAACTCCCTCCTCAGGAGCACTAATTTGCTAAAATGGTTCATAGACTTTAGGAAAACATGATTATTCATTTATTATAGAAAATTACAAAATTTACAAATGAATATACAGAAGATGAAGTAATATATTGGATAAAGTCCAGAGAGTTCAAAATGCAAAACCTTCTATCTCTACAGATCTGGGGTGAATTGTCCTCCAGAACATCATATGAATACATATTCATCAACCCAGGAGCTCTCCACACCCCTTTATTTCTGAAGGTTATGTTATAAGACATAATTTATTAAATCATTGGTGATTAAATTTAACCTCCATCCTCTTTCCTATTCCCAGAAGTTAGGAGTTGTGACTAAAAATGTCCAACCCTCTAATCACATAGTTGTTTCATATGGCCATCGGCCTCCATTCTAAAGCTATCCAGGGGCTTTTAGCCACCGTAATTTCATTAAGATACAAAAGGCTCTCTCATCACTTTGGTGATTCCAGGGGCCTTAGAAGTTCTTGTGTCAAGAACCAATAGCAAATGCTCTAAGCATATTTCTTCTTATATCACAGTTATCAAGGGTACTTATACCTTTAAGTATTAGTAACCATAACAAAAATGGGCTTACATGAGAATTTTGCCTACACTAGATCCTGTCCATTACTTAGAACTCATTCCAGGATGTCTTTTCTACATGTATTCAAGAGTTTTTACACCAAGAGGTTTTTACATCCACACCTTGTCTCAATTCTCTTCAATTTGCATGCATATCTTGCAGCCTCCCAAATGTTGTTTAATATTTCAGGCTTGTCTTGTTTCTTGTTTGTTTTGTTTCATTTGTGTTATAGTTTTATAGTGTAATACATTCTCATTACACCCATTTTTTATTGTTTCAGTATGGAAGCCGCTCAAGGATATGTTATAATATTGCCTTTTATCTCATGGGTCATTAAATATTTGCTTTGCACACATTGGGCACAAAACACAGAACTCTCTTTAACTCTGCAAATAAAGAGACTAGAGGGATTCAAATACTGCTGTGTTACTCAGATGAACCCATGCATGATACTACTCCACTCCCTACTGTCATCTACCAAAAGACTTATTAGTACAAAATACCAAAGCAAGGAATTTATGTCTCAAGTATGTATACTCAGAACCATCATGTTTCTCCCTCTAAGTTATTCTTCCTATGTCAGTTAAAAATGTTTTCTAACTCCCTCTTGCAGTATCGTAATTACCTATTATTAGTTTGAATGTTTATAAAAATCAACTGAGATTTTAAATACCCCATGTCTGGGCTTTTCCCTAAATCAATTGAATCTGAACTACCAGGAACTGGTCCCATGCAAAGTTATTATTCAAAAATATTCCAGAAATGTCTAACATTTATTCTGTACAGACAGGTACTCAGTGTTGAACAAAGCAGTTCAACTATGGCCCTCCAAGACTTTGAGAAAAATCAGTAAGTTCTGTACTGATGGTTCTTAATCTTTACCAAACATTAGAAACAATGAGGGGCTTTTAAAAATTCTGATGACAAGGTCACCCTCAAGAACAGATAAAAATCTCAAAGGCATAAGTCAAATTTTTATTCTCAAAGTTACCTCAAAACACAATCACATTTAAGAATTAGTGGTCTGTACCCCTCCAATTCAAAGTATGGTCTATGATCCAAAGCATTAGCATGGCCTGGGAGTTGTTAGAACAGGCATGTTGGATCCACCCCGTCTGCAGATGGTTTTGTCATACTAAAGTTTTAAAGGCACTGTTCAAGTTACAAGGGAGCAACTCTATGATTTGTTTTGCAAAAGTATCTCAGTATTTTTGGAGAGATGCACACCCTTGCTAGTTTTGGTTTTAAATGCCTGTTGTAATTTCTTTTGCTCCTGATCTTATACATATTTGGTGACTATAAAACTTTGAAGTAAAATATCCTACTAAGTGAGATGTGAGGGAGGCAAACGTCTTCATGCTCTTCATCTAAAAATGAAATGGCACCCTAAATATGAAGTGTGAATTGCTTGGTGACACACTGACACCCTGAGGTGTAGGAGGAAAGGCAGTAGCCACAGTGCTCCACTCGATGTGGGAACAGTGGGGCTCCCTGATGGTACGATCACACCAGAGCCTCCTCTTGCACTCCAAGAGCAGCAACCTCCTTGTGAAGAGGTAGTTGCTCTTAGCACAGGTAAAGACCTGTTAAGTAACATTTCCACTTAGGTTGGGTCAGTCAGCATTGAAGCAGCTTTCTAGACATGAAATTTTGGAATTTGCATTAATTCCTTCAGTATCATGACTGAGAAATGGGTACTGAGTAAGAGCTGTTAGGGATTTCGGTTAAAGTCTGGAAAGATTGTTTTTTCAGTTCTCCCTGTCTCTCGAGTTCACTGCCTCACCCTTTACCCAAGGATTGTCCTTTGCCTTTATGCAACTACGTTATGCTCTGCACAACCAGCTGTTCCTAGCACACACCCACACACGCACACGTGCATAATGGACTCCTTTTTTTCCTTCCTACAAATATTTCTCTCAGGTAATGATGGAATGTTGAAGAAAAAGACCTTGTAAGAGCCAGTGTAATAATTAATGTAGCTAATACTGCTGAGTTCTTTTGATGTGCCAAGTACTTAATGAGCAATGCTTCATTTAACTTTTATACCAAACATCTGAATTTATATCATTATTTGCATTTTACAGGTGAAAAAAACTAAGTGGTGTAAGACAAAAATGCTTGTTTTAGCACAAAAAGTATGTCTCCAGGGTTTATATGCTTACTATCTACACAGAAATAGCTTTCTAAGTGAGGCTCTCTTGAAAAAAATGAGGAACTTAAATTTATTGTGAAAATTACAAGCAAAAAAGAAATGTACAATAATTCAATAAACTCTCATGTGTCTAATACCTAGATTTGTTATTGGTAAAATTTTGCTTTATTTCATACATATTTACTTTTATTGAATTATTTTAAAGTAAATTTAAAGTGTGTTTATATTTACCCCCATAGTGGGTAAAAAGGTGATCCCCAAAATATTTACATGTCCTAACCCCCAAACTTTGGGAATATAAATATTTATTGAAAGAATGTTATCTTATTTGGAAAGAGGATCTTTGCAAGTATAATTAACTTAAGGATCTTGAGATGAGAAAATCATCCTGGATTATTTTCATAGGTCTTTTACCCAATGACAACTATCCTTTTAAAAGAAAAGCAGAAAGAGATTTGACTTGACACACACACAAAAGAGGAGATGGCATGTAAAGATAGCAGGCAAGGGTGGGAGGCATGCAGCCAGCAGCTGGGCGATGTCCGGAGCGAGCAGAAACTGGAAAACGCATGGAAAGACTCTTCCCGAGTCACTGCAGGAAGCATAGCCTTGCCAGTGCCTTGACTTCAGACTTCTGGTCCTGGCAGTGGGAAAGCCTGAATTGCTCTTTCTCTACATCACCAAGTTTTTAGTGATACGCTATTGCAGCCATAGGGATTAATAGCACTTTTTATAACTTAGTAGGCATTACCAGCACCATAAGGTCATCCTTCTATCTGTAGACAACATGATGATCACACCAATTAACACCAATTCTCTGATATTGTCTAACATACAATTTTTATTCAAATTTCCCTAATTTTTCTCCAGAGATCTGTTAGGGCTGGTTTATTTAAATAGTCCAAAAAAGAAGCATACATTGTATTTGGGTTTTGCTCCTCATAAGACTATTTTTGTTCTAAAAAATGTTCTCACCTGCCCCTTGTTTTCTTGGCATTGCCTTATTGAAGAGCCTATAGAATGACTCATTCTGGAATTGTCTTATGGCTAGAATAAGGGGCTTTTTCAGTGAAACATTCTGATGGGCAAAGATCCCCCCAAAGCCCTCTTGGTCCTCCTTTGCTGTAGTAACCTGTGGGAGAAAGACCTGACAGGTGGTGGGGACAGAGGCAAAGGCAAGTGTGCACTGGTTGCCTCCTTCCTGAGGTTTCCCCTATAGGCAGGCTCACACCTCCCTTTCTTATGTGGAAAGATGGTCAGGGTTAATGCCTACCACCTGCTAAAGAGAGGATAAAACAAGGGCCCTTTCCCACTGAAGTCAGGGTTGTCTAGAGAAAAATGACTAGATAGGTAGATAGATAGATAGATCGATAGCTCCATTATTATAAAGAATTGACTCACCCAACTATGGAACCTGAGAAATGCCATGATCTGCTGCCTACAAGGTGGAGACACAGAAAAGCTAGTAGTGTAGTTTAGTACAAGGTGGAAAACCTGTTAGGTCAACAACTACAAAAAAAAGCAGAAATAATGTCCATAATTGAACATTTACTCCTAATAAACAAATAAACAAATGAACAAAGAAAAAACCCACAAGTGAAGAAGACAAAAGTAACCAATTTAAAGAATTAAATATGTGAATCTGTTATGGTTTGGATGTAAGATGTCCCTCTAAAGGCTCACATGTTCAGATATGAGGCTTTTTAGAAGTAATCAGAGCATGAAACCACTAACCTCTTCAGTGGATTACCCACTGATGAGCTCTTAACTGAATATGCTGTTGGGAGGTGAAGGCAGCAGGCCAGAGGTTTCATGCGTGGAGCCTACATCTTGCCTATGACCTTTCCCCTCTAGCTCTTTCTCTCTTTCCCTCTGCATCTTTCTCTACTTCCTGGTACCATGAGGAAAGCAGCTCTCCTGCACCATGCCCTTCTGCCAGTACATTTCTGCCTCACCACAGGCCTAAAAACAGCGGAGGCAGCTAACTAGAGATGGAAATCTGTGAAACTATAGGACAAAATAAACCTTTCCTTCTTTAAACTGTTATTCTGGGGTATTTTTGTTTGTCACAACAATTAAACTAACTCAGGACATAATAATATATTGTAAAGAAAAACGACATAGAAAACTGAAAATTTTGAGGCTAGAAATATGGAGAGTAAACCGGATGGACATTTTTCTAGAAAAATAATCCAATTTGTCTCAAAAAGGAAGTGAAAAAACAAGTAAACCATAAAGAAAGTGCAAATTTTTACTGTTGAGTTAAAAGTTACAGAATATCATGTTATTATTCTAGTTGATTCTATTTAAATTAATTAATAATTTTTAGCTTATCTATATTTAAGAAAAATATAAAATTATCATTTGGATCCATACCAAATCCATGATAGCGATTGCTTCAGAAATGAAAGAAAAGAAGAAACATAAGACCAATATAGAAACTATAATGTCTTGTAAGATTATTTTTGAGAAAAAAGGTTTAAAGAAACCTTTAATACGTTTTTTAAAATCCTGACTCTCATTACAGATATACATGCTATCCCTTTCTTTTAACTTAATCATTGAGAGAAGTAGGTGAATGTTATAGTGGGTTAAAAAACAATTCTTGAACTTTGTAAGTCACAAATATTGAAATGTACACAAATATTTTTGGGGGGTCAGAAGGAAGGCACAGAAGTTGTATGTCTGTAGATAAGGATCATTTTCTGATGATTCATCTAAAGTACACGGAATTGCAAAATGGTTCCATAGAATCAGAACAGTCTCCCTTGGAATATAGCACAACTCTTTCCACACAGCCATGACCAGACATTAACATTTGTTCAGTTTAGTGTGTAAATAGTGTGTTTTTATTACATCCTTTTTTCTACCTTTATTTAAATATAATTTTAATTTTTTATTTAAAAACCTCTATATTTCCATCACATACCAAATGCAAAGATTTGGATTTCATAGGTCTGGAGATTCACTATGGATTTCAGATTAAGTCAGACTATTCTGATGAGCAGCAAGGTTTGGGCACCTCTCCCTAGATGACAACTACCATTCTTCCCAACTGAGATTCCCTGATTTGAGGGCAAAAATGGGTACAAAGGCTGGGTTAGCTAAGGAGTAATGAGATCCCAAAGCTGATCAGTTAATAGGGGTAAGGAAGACACTTAGGTTGGTAAATACATGTCCTACGTACCATGCATTTTGTTAAATAGATAATTCTCTGGTACAGAATCAGCATAATAGTTATCCAGTACAATGTCTGGGAAGGTCTATTAATTGCGCCAAGCCTTGAAGTACGTACTTTGCCTACCTCCTGGGCTGCTATAGAATGGATCTAGAACTGATTCATTAACTATGAAGTACCATACAACTATGAAATATTGAAGAGATGCTTATCAGTAATAGCCATGATTTTGACTAATCATCTGTCAGTATGCATAGAAGATAATACAGAGAGGCTTAGAGATATTACAGAAATTATATTACAGTTTTAGTAAGGGAGAGGAAAAAAGAAGAAAATCTCTGCTCTCAGGAAAGAAACGTACTTGAAAATTGGGCTGGGGACAGAGCTCAGCAGCACAGTGCCTGCCTAGCAAGCGCAAAGTCTTTCATTCGATTTCCAGTACAAAAAAAATCAAACAAAATGTATAGGTCATGAATTAACTTTTAGGTAGGACTGACCAACCAATAGGTAATAGAGAACCAATAGGTAAATAAGATAGCAATTTATATTAAAATGGAGTTGGATCACACTACTATGGATTGGAAGGTACCATGGAATTAAAGAGCTAAGAGAAGATTCTGTGATTGCTTTGTAGGGTAAGCTGACCTCAGAGTTGTTTTGAGAATAAACAAGTAAAATTCTGTATCTTCACTAATGCCACTAATTTTATATTTTTTTTCTCTTGGCATCATCTTGAAGCTGCTGGATTGTCATTTCATGCAGCTTTGTTATTTTTAAAAGTTGTATCCTTTCATGATCTCTAATTGTGATCCTGTCCTCAAAGTCCAAAATCCTATCCTCATCTTCATATAAATGGTTTTGCCAGCTTTCAATAGAATTTTTTGTTTCTTGGATATCTCTTTGAGTTTGTTTCATGAATTACGCTCATTTTCTATATTGTTCATTCCAGGTTTCAGTTTCCTATGCTCCTGTACTTTTTTCTCTATTTCTTCTTTAGCTCCTCTGAGCAACTCCTTTACTAGGGTTGTTATTTCTGTCTTTACATGGGAGAGTACTTCTAATTTGATTTCCTCATAGCCTCATGGAGTTGTTTTTTATTTCATTTGCTATCTTTTCACAGATTTCTGGTGTGTTACTTTTGAAGTCCTCTATTTCAATGTCTCCTGCACTTGCTCCTAGTGGACTAGATGTTTGAGATTGCATTTTGCTTTATTGTTTTGCCATTTTCCCCTTTCAGATTAATATTTGGTCCTTCAATCCCACTAGTGTCAACTGTTGGTAGTGTGTATCTTGGGGTCCTACTGTAAAGTTGATGTTTGTCCAGTTGCTGGGTCTCACAATGAAGACTTCAGTAAGTCACCTGAATTCCCCCTGCAGGGCCTGTTGGGTGAGTCCTATGTTCTTTCTAGGCTTACAAGCCTAGGAGTACTGATGGGAATCAACCCCTAGTTCCTGCTGTTATTTATGTCTTCAGGTTGTTCAGAGTCAACAGAGTTCCCTATTTATAGTGTTTATCTCAGGTGGGACCCTACTGTGTCTCTGGGTATCCCACAGGCCCCCTTAATTTTCTCCAGGTTGGAGAGCCTTGTTGGTACCCTCCTCAAGTCACCTGATATTCTCTGTGTGGAGGAAGGACTTACCCACCCACTTGCCAAGTTTGCATATGACCTACTTCTGGAAGGGGTTTCTCTGTTGCTCATTTACCCACTAAAGGTGGCAAATTCTATTCCTATTTTATGGGCAAATTCACCTCACTGATGGAAGCCTGCTGAGTTCTTCTTACTGAGTCTCCCCTTGATACTGCATGGTTAATCCACTGCAGTCCAAGGTTCTAGGGGGAGGTACGGGAGCCGAAGTTCAACAGCAATGCTAGTTCCAGGAGGTGGGGGAATCCCCAATGGCAGTGGTCGGACAGCCAGGGCGCTCTTCATGAGTGGGTGTTCCTAGGTCCTGAGGTGGATGGC